AAAGGTGTCAAGTCTGCAAATTTTACCGGGCAAAGCCGCTACGAAACGGATTCCTCATGTCATGTTGTCGCATGATTATTCAAAGTCGGGATGCTTACGCCGCAACGAATCCCTTGGTCATGATGCCGCACTCGCCGCAGCCTCCGCTCACGGTTCCGCCCGAGTGCCGCAAGTGGACGATTTGCGGCGCCGCATGGCCGCAGTTGATGACAGAGGCTGAAGAGATTTTTAGATCAGTGGTTCAGGGCAGACTTTTGGTGATGGGCGAGATCATCGGGTACTGTGGTGGTGATCAACGGCAATGCCGGTGAGACACTAAATGAATAGCATTGGTATGATGCATGTATGTTTCTCGGGAAGTGACATAGACAAGAGTTCACATCGTCAGCACCGCCGCCACCTGAAGCCAAAAAAGGTCAAGATGGATGGTTGATTAAGAAAGAGGGAAGGGCTGAGGGCCCCCATGGGTGTTATATAACTAATTCTACAGCATTAGCGCGCTGAGGACACCTTTCTCAAACCGCGTTGTCGGTAGTCATCAACGACGGGAACGAGGTCCCTGCAGCCAATGATTTGGGAGATTCGGACAACCCATCTCTAGTGAAGATCGATAGTATGCTCGATTCATCTCACAACAGGTCTTGGCATGAAACTGAACTCTTTCGAGTAAGACCTGTCAGTGAAATACCACCCTCAGCCTGTATGCCCCGTTTCCAGGTGAGGCTTCCGGATCTCCGCTGATTGGCCGCCTCAATACATCGCCACGCGTGCCAGATCCATTGTACCTAGCGATCTCTTTTGATGTGCCGAGAGATTACGGCATTTAGGATTCCCCATGTCACTGACGTACATGTCCGTAGTTCTCCATGCTGACGTCACAGTTTGCGGCATCCTGAGAAGACCTATGCCGCAGCCCTATAGGGCAGACCGGACAGCTTCTGAGCCATCGGTAAGCAGCCATGACACACCTTGTCATTCACAAATGGCGAAAAGAGCTGAACTACAGGCGCAGTCTATTGAGACAAATGAGCACTCCCGGTTTATTTGCGCTCTGGGCTTCTGAATAATACTCCTCCCAAACTGGAGTATCGTCGGATTTGTTATCACCAAAAGGATTAAAGCAATGCACGAAGTCATCAAGTGGAGTCAAGGAATGGCCAAATTCAACTATCATAGCTATAAGTGTGATGTCATAGTCACAGGTCCAATATGTACTGTCCCTCCGTTACTACAAGCCCGATGCCCAGCATCAGCGTCGTGTCTCAGCACAGTTCGATCAGGGATTGTCACTTAGGCTTCGGTGATATTAGATCGAGTGCTCCACTCATCACTAAGACCCACGACATTGTACGAAACATCCGCGAGCTCGTCCTTGTCGTCCAAAGCTGTGAGCCGCGACCCCTCCCCCGCTCGTTCGTCCACTTCAAGCAGAGAAAGAATCTAACGGGCATTTCGGAAACAGGTACCAAAGAGGGCTATCTGATCCCGCGGAAGCCATCTTTTTTAGGGCCTTAGGTCCGATGCTGATCATTCCAGACTGTATGTACAAAGTTGGATATCGATTTTGAGCTACCTCGGCTGTCCTTTGATTGGTGATAGAATCGTACTGACAAACATTTGCATGAATCGAGAGCTGATGGCCACGGGAGACCAATCATAGCGGGGTAGCAGCTCTCTGTTTATGTCCTATTTAGGGCTGCTGTGGCTTCACAATTAGAGGATTATGATGGACACTGTGCCGATGGTCCGTTGAACTGCGATTGAGGGGTAGTTGACTTCAACGCCCGCCCCTGACAATGGTATCGGAGATTCGGCGAGATGCGCTGCTGCAGTCAGGTGGACACGCCGCTGACTCCAATGAGAAGCGCAGTGTGATTAGTATGAAAGGATGCTGAGGCGCGGAAGACTATGCTTTTCGTAGATCGATAATCGTATTCCGGCTTTCACTGAGGCTGGCTGAGGCTCCCAAACTGCTCTAGAAGGTTTCAGACTACGAATTCGTGCCAGAACGGGAACGGTCCGAGCGGTACAAGACCCCAACGGCTGAAACCTGGGGAACCAATGTCCGAGCTTCATTCCTCATTGATAAGCTTTGCACTAGTGGCCGCTCTACCGATGCCGGGTTCGCGGGGTGACGGGTTATAAACTATTGACAATCTATGGCAAATAGTTGGGTGATAAAGATGCAGGTCTATCGTGGCTGGAACATGAGGTAATTTATCGGGGCATTTGAGGCTGGCTGAAATGGTGCATCTGGGCTCTGTCGCGCACCTCGAAGCTGAACCAACCAAGGTGCTGCGTATCCCGAAAAATATCGCTACGAGCTACAAGAGAGAGCTTCAGTCAGCCTCCTAAAAGACGTAGCTCGGAGAACCCTTGCGAGCGATAAGCTTTGGCGGTGGAAAGTGGCGTGCTGAGCAGCTAGCGACGAGCGTCGAGACCCTACAGGTGTCGGAAGCTGAAGAGAACAACAGGTCTACGCGAACTAGACTACGTTGGTATTTTTCAGCTGCAGTATTATATTGCTAAACATCAATTATTGGATAGACCTTTGTGGCGTTTATCCTTTTGTGGACAGCCTTTTAGGTGTTCGGTAGCAAAAGGAGCGTATGATCTGATCTAGACTGGCCAGCCGGTTACGGATCTGGATTGCCATTGACAACCGTTAGTATAATGACTGAATTGCCTGTTCTAGGTATGGGTTACACGAGACTAGCCTAGTTAAGTTCACAGCTCAAACAATTTGGCTTGTTGACTCTCATTATCACAAGATTGCCTCAGCGGCGGTCTAGACTTGGGCCCAATTTGTTTCCCGAATCTATCTCCTCAATAGATACTTGGTGACAATCCACTCTTTGGTAAGTCAACACGACGAGAACAAAAAAGAATGAATTCAACAACTCCGATGCATCACTACCTCTAACCTTCCCCGCCAATGTCCCCCTCACCAAGCTCTTACCAATCCGAGACCTTGTTACTGATAACCTTGCCCAGCCACTTCTTATGGCCATAGCTGTACTGATGCATAGTGATCTTAGGTCGTCCATTCTCGCCTTTTCCAGAGGCGAAAACCTTGATATCCGTCTTGTCAGGCCAGGCGTGAACGGATGCTGTTAGTGAGGCATCCTTATCAACATACGGCCTATCCTCCTCCTTGTATCCAAGAAGACCATGCTCCCATCCAGTGCTAGCGCTGAAAGAGACCTCTTGGATATAACCCTTGTTCTCACATTGTCCCTTTTCAGGAGCAATGCAGTAGATGCGGATCTATAGAGTCAGAATGCTCCATAAAAGCTGGTGATGAGACTCACTTCTTGGCCATTTCCTCCCTGCCAAGCTGCTGCGGCGATTTGTCTGCTGCCGCACTTGACCTTTAGGTCTCCGTCCGTGAGCTCGACAAGTTTAGGGTCATAATCGTCGGTTCCCGCTCCAGGAGAAACAAGGTAGCAGAGCTGGTGGTTCGAGTTGACAAAGAACACATAGGTCTTGCCCTTCACATCTACCGCAGCGATGTCCCTAGGGAGCTCTTTGAATGCCTCTGTGGATGCCATGACTGGTAGAAACTTTGTAATGCAAATTTCGCTCGTTCGTAACTCTGGTGATGGCTGTAGGCTAAAAGTGATGGAATGAGAACAATCATTCAAGTTTATGGGACGAGGAGAACGCCTGCTTTTATAGATTCTGACCCTCAGTGATATCTGCTTTGGTAAGTCCTCCAATACCCCTCGTGCGTGCATAAACATCCTCGCATTGGCTATTCACTGTGGCTATGGCTATGAATAGAGGCAGCTCGTCTCAGAACGACGTGACCACGATCCAAAACCAAAGCAATCAGACGACAGTATGCCCTATTTCGGGCTCTGCGTTGGATCTGATACTTTGGAGGCTGGCTAACCTGATCAGCGAAACTCGCGCTCGGATCTTTGAATGCATGTGTATTCAGCCCGACACTAATCTAGTCACATAGAGGTACTTCAGGAACTACTGCATGTTGTTGTTTTGTGAATCTATTTCTATGGCTGCGTTGCATGGCGTCCGATAGCGTCTCTCATGATGCATGGAGACTTGCGGCATGCCATAAAGAAGGCCTCGAACGCACCAGTCAACACAAGACATGAGAGAGACTCACGACGAGTTCGCCTAACATGTCCCAATTCATTGATTCTGCCCAGTGATGTAATCGTGATCTAACTCTCACACAAATTATGCCGCTCCGAGGCGCCGTGTCGCTGCGCACTAGACCATCCAGCTAGAGCTACTATGCGCAGCACATTGTGCGCCAATAGTTTGTGTACAGCAGCTTTTGAGGTGTAGCTGGTTTCCGAAAATGAATATTCAGCTCTGAAATTGGATGAGGGGAAACGCCAATCGTGCCCGTTTGAGACCCATTTTGAGCCGTTGTCCGCTGTGGCTTGGTCCTAATCAGTCTAGACTGTAGATAGCCGGGTTGCTACGCGTCATGCCAGCCAGCCTCAGTTGAGACTAGCTAGCCACTTTAGCAATGCTACTCTCTTCAGAAGTACATTTCGGGGTAGATGGGCTGACTTCTTGAAGTGGGCTGGACCTGAAGATGCACTATCACCTGCACTCAATCGCTAGTATCACAGCTATCACCTCACATAGTTTGATAATTGCTTTAGCGCTGAAGTACACAAGCCCTACGATACTCTGCATCGGACGCCCCCAAGGTCCATGGAAGAGACACTACTTCGTAGATAGCTGAGACTTAGCCGAAACCCAATTCATCCGAGGGCAGCTGCAGGCTAGGAAGGGTCCATTGCTAGATCCAGACCCTGGATAGGTGGCTTGGACCCTGGGTAAGCTCTGTAGCTCAGTAGAGCTATCGAACTGCATTTTTTCTTTTCGAAGCTGAGGTCTTTCTGATAATCCTCCTGTCCCCTCATTCTTTTTAAACCAGCCAAGTGAATCTACAGTCGCAACATTTCTCCCCATCTCCATTCTCCATCTCATCACTTCGCACTCTCACCAAGCTCTTCGCAATGTTTTCTCAATCTCTGCCCCGTGCTGCCATTATGGCTACTCTTTGTCTCGTCGGCCTCGCGTCTGCTGTGAGAGGTAAGTTATCCCTAGACGTGACTCCAGTCCACAATCATACAAGGGCCATCAGTAACAAAGCATAGAGTCTGGCGATGCCAATGCTGCTATCATCTCAGAGTCGAGCTCGACCACTTCCGCAAGGGCGCGCGATACCAATGTCATCCGGCCGGACGAAAAGGTGATGGTGCCTTGCGCTGGCCACATCACTCAGTGTGGTGTTGAAGACAAGGCCAAGATTATCTATGTACCAAGATCCACTAAAACCATCACGAATGAGATTGTCTCAACCTCGGTCGTGGTAAGTTTCAGTGGCAAAGTCCTTGTGATCGAGATAGACATGCTGATGCAGAGATCAGACGCTTCCAACGTCAACCAGGGTTATTGAGAAAGTTACAATTGAAACCGTCACCAGCGCAACCAAGGGTCAGTACATACCAGCCCCAATCCTACTGTGCAGGGATAAAAGACTGATCTTTAATGATATCTAGGCCACTGTCGTGAGACCCACTATCTTCCTGGTGAACCTGTTGAGGTCACGGTCGATCTCCTAATTGTCACTACCGAGGAAATCCAACCCACCACAGACACTGTCAAGTGGATTACCAGCAAGGTTACCGAGAGTGCCATCGAGCAATGTTTCCTTCAGAGTTATACTATCCTCGGACGGGGTCCGAGAATTGATGGGGATACTACATGGCCAGCTGAGGCCGCATCTACCCGCTCAAACGACGGTATCAGCCCGGCCGCATCTACACCTGCAGCATCGGATGAAAGCCGCCCTGCCGATGATCCTGCCCAGAGGCCTTTGGACACCGAAGATGAGCGACCCGTAATTGTCGCGGCAGATGGAGATATGTCGGAGTAAAGTTCCAGCCAAGGTATGACTTAATCATAAGTCAGTACACCGTGCTTGAGAAGGTTTGATAAGCAGTCAGGGCTTGATGTTGAGCTATTAGTGTTGGATATTCTGTGTATATGTAGTATGATCATCTTGAAAGAAGAGTTGAGTGCTATGACATCTGCTTCTGATCACCTTTCCTCCATAATGCAGTTCGTTCCTCATTAGAACTGCTTTCTAGCATCATAAATGTATGGAAAGTTACTTGTGATATAATGTCTAAAGTGTTAGCTAGATGAGCTGTTTGCAGTTAAGACTTGTGGCTGAGATCTTAAATCAGCAAAGAGAACTTGGCCCAGGATATTACAACTTTCAAGCATAGAACATCGAGTTATATTCTTGATGTCATAGCTAAAAAGTTTGTGATGATGATCGCGATCATGATACAGCTTGTGACTAGCTCGGTGCTTCTATAAAGGCCCGAATTAGAGCTATACCGATGGTATGTAATCACACCCTTTCGGCTTGTTCTTCTAACGCAACCGGGCCTCATATTCCTCTTCACCTCCTTCCTCGTGTTGGTAAGGTTGTTCTTGTGTTAGGTAGATGGGACCTGGCGAACTATTTCTGGTAGGATACGATCTTGTGACAAGCGAGAGAGGAAGGTGATCCATATAGCCTGATTACCTGTCCACGAGGATAGTAGGTAATGTACACCAAAACATCACTCATTTTCTACCTATGTCACGACACCTTTCCTAGGCATCACCGGGTGTGTCATAGTAGGGCCGACTCAGGTATATTGGAGCCGAAGACCTTTCTTGATGACTGCCTCGATTTATCGTTGTAACCTACAAGTTAAACCGTAAACTGATCTCAACTCTCGAATGTTTCACATGGAATGAAACAAGCGAAGGTATATGAATGTCTGTCTACTAACCGCGATTGTTTTAATCATGAATGTTTAAGATATGTAAGAGTTTTGAGATGTAGGAAAATAGAGAGATCGAAAGGTTGTGTTGTAAGAAAATGGAACGGACGTTTCGGGAGTCCGTCCGGGAAATTAGGCCACCTGCCATCTCAACTGCTTTCGTGCATCTGCATAGACCCCTGAAATTTCCGTTTCTCCCATTTGACAAATTACTGGTAGTGACAAGTAATCTATTAGTCGGCAGTTACAACAAAGTAGTATATTCCCCCGCTATACGCTCCGGCCTCCATGGTTGGCTATCTGTTTGCGGGGACCCCACACACGAGCCGGGCTGCATCCCCAGGTTCTTATCGGATTAAAGATGGAGAAAGTGCAAAGGAATCAAACTAATGTTGGCAGAGGGTAGTAATGCCGAGCAAGCAGTCTGACTATGCTAGCATTGGTGAGCTCATGACATCCTAGTTGAGCGGTGGTGTCCCTTAAATCTAACTTTAAACTTCATCCTCCGGCAACTTCATCCGAATAGTCACAGCTACTAGATAGTCAACGATAACGATGTTGTACTCGGTTGCGTTTCTCATTCCTTCCAATTTTGTGTGTCAAGTAAACTACTCATAGCCCTATCGAGAGAGGACATAGGTTACATTCGGCTGTTTCCTATGGCACGGGCATGTCTTGGACTCAGGACATATTCACCACCTAGGTCTATTGAGGAATGCCATACCCTTGCAATAGGGCCGATAATAGAGTATCCAGAGTTAGGAATGGTGTCTCGTCGCGGAATCAAAGCTTCCGTAACTGACTCGGGTGAGGGCCTTGAGGCAGAGGGAATTGTCCACTAAACACTTATATAAACTGCTACCTGTGACGAGAATGGAGAAAGAAAATAGACATTCTCAAAAGACTCTCCTTTCTAGAACAGACTTCCAAACGAGATGAAACTTTTATTGCCTCTTCTACTGCTAACATCCCAGTCGCTAGCTGGGACAATCAAGTTAGCCCATCGTGCTTCACTTGGTCCTATTGGCACCAGTAACCCCAACATTTTGGCAGGAGGCACTGTTCAAACCGATGCTCCCCCTCTAAGCTCTTTCTTTAAGGATCTCAAAGGGCCGGTAAGTCTATCCATCTATGCCTGTCGACTCACACTCGTGGACTGATCTCAAGCAAGTATCCAACCAACGGATGGTGGGCTCCATACGCTGCAAGTCCTGGAAAGGGCACCGCTGCAGGCCCTTTTCCTTATGAATCGTCATTAGATGGGCACGGTGTTTGCTTTGGTATCGGCCAAGACCGCAACTTCGATGGGACTTCTATCAAGGTGCCGACTCAGCTAGACTGGCGGGCTTCATTCAGTGAACATAGTGGGGGATTTGATGGTCACAAAGCAACTGCTTTCGACACTCAAACGGTCACAGTACAGTATTTCCAGGGCGACTCGTCCATGGCCGCACATCTGGTACCGGGTTCGCCCTACGTGACCTTCGAATACAAGTCTGCAACGCCACTGTTGACGACACTGAACGGGGGCATCAAGTCGTTCAACGGAAAGGCTATGAGTGGTAGCAATACGGGTACGTGATTCAAGTGCAAGAAAACAATACGAAAATATGCTGACCCAGATGAACAAATTTTCAGTGAGCGATCAAGGCACCAAGTTTACCGTCGTCGATACAAAGGGCACCACATACCTAATCTATTCGGACTCATCCATCAAGCTTACCGCCAAAGCCGAGAATGATAACAAAGGAACCCTTGCTGCAGATGGCAAGTTTACCGGTATTCTACGATTGGTGATGCTCAGGGATCCCAGTCATGAGACACTCCTGGATGCCCATTCAACGGTATACCCTATCTCCGTGTCTCAAGACTATTCCATCAGTGGCGATTCAGGAACCGTGACATTTAAGTGGGAGACAAAAGGTACTGGTGACTTGCTAATGCTCACCTGGCCGCATCACCGCGAAGTGCTACAGAGCCCCAATTCCCCCGAGCCATCTGCTCTGAGTTATTTGACCCTCAAGGTAAACTGCCCTTATTCCTACGTAACTTTTCATGATGGCTAAACATCTCAGGGTTGGATGTACCCAACGCTCGGTAACACTTGGAGATTGACGTACAAGTTGACTTCGATAACCTGGAACGCCCCGCGCGACGTGGATCCCTCCTGCAAGTCATCAGTTGTGAACGGTCTCAAATACGAAGTCAGCCAACTCGACGCTTCGAAAGCGCCTGCGGCAAACGACTTTTACTACTGGGGCGGCACTCTCGCAGCTAAATCCCGCCTCGCACTGATCGCGTATGTTCCCCATCGATGGTGTCTTTATTGAATCCAGACTGACTTATATGCAGTGACCATGTTGGAAGCAAGGATCTTATCGACCCCGTTATCAAGTACCTCAAAGCCTCTTTCGATGGCTGGTTCAGCGCCGCCAACAAGGCTCTGCCTGCTTATGAAACCACTTGGGGCGGTGTTATCAGCAAAGAAGGCGCCACGAATGTCTGGGTCGACTTTGGTAACGGCTACTTCAACGATCATCACTTTCACTACGGTTACTTCCTTCATATCGCTGCAGTAATCGCCAAGTACGATCCAAGCTGGTTGGCTCAACACAGAGAATATGTGACATTTTTTGCCCGGTAAGTTCAGTTGGCTCCGCCGGGGATCTGGTGCTGACCAATACTCAACAGGGACATCATCAACCCTTCGTCGGCCGATCCCTTCTTCCCTATTACACGATGCTTAGATTGGTTCGCTGGTCATTCATGGGCCTCTGGTATTGCCAATGGAGCTGGAAGCCGTGATCAAGAATCTGTCGGTGAGGCCGTCAACGGTTACTACGGCGCCATGCTCTGGGCCACAGTAGCTCTTGATCAAGAACACGCCAACTTTGCTCGACTCCTGCTCGCCATAGAACAGCAAGCTGCTAGGAAATACTGGCACCTGTACCCGAGCGCTGGTAAAGATGATCCTACGAATCCTTATCCCGAGGTCAAGTTCAGGGATCTAATCACCGTCGGCAATGTGATGGATTGGCAGACGGGGGCGTGGCTGTTCTGGGGAGCTGAGAAGGTGCAGATTGCTGCGATTCAGATTCTCCCTGTCACGCCTGTTAATGAGGTAAGAGTGTCATTGACCTAGTCTGATGATTTGGCTTACATGCGATGGCAGGTTATGTATGACGCCGAATGGGTCAGCAATGTCTTCTCCTACACAATGCCAGAATTAACGAACGCCTCATACGCCGACTCCTGGTACGCATTTTGATCGTTTCTTTTGCCTCAGCAAGCTAAAAGATCAGGAAATCTGTCATTTATGCTGCCTATGCCAACGCCAAGCCGCAAGAAGCCGCTACATGGAGTGCCAAACTGAGCGACTGGGGTGCGTTCAGAATCCACTTACTGATTTCAATACAGTCGATTGACATATCTCCAATTACAGGATCCGGAAACACATACACGAACGAACTCTATTTCATCAGCACGCGCCCTAATTCGAACGGCCAGCCTATCTGCGCAACCCTCCCGGAGAACCCCTACGGAGACTACAAGATCCAAGCCACGTCAGGCAAATACATCGTATCTGCAGCCAACGGCGGTCAACTCTCTGCGTCAAGCGCCTCAGCCAATGATGCCGATACCTTTTCTAGTGCCTATGTTCCCAACGCTGGTACACTACAGCTGGCCAGGAACAAGCAATACGTGACGGCGGATCAGTCGGGCACCTTTGCACTCTCGGCAGCCCGCGCAGTTGCTAGTACCTGGGAGCGGTTCATCATCCGACAGAAGATAGGTGAAAGTGAGGGCGTCTATTCGATCAAAGCGGCTAGTAACGGGAAGTATGTGAGAGTTGGCGGTGATGGGACGCTGGTCAACGATGGTGCGGCTGAGAACGAAGCAACTGGGTTCCGCTTCATCAAGGCCTGAGATGGTGCTGGATGGTTTTATTGTGTGTTTTGGGCGACAAGGCATCAAGTCCTGGTCACCACCGGCCTACCCTCTTTATTTTCTATTTCCATCCTGTCTTTTCTTCTCAACAGAAAGTATTTGGTTTCATTCTTGACAAAGTGGAAAACACTGCATTCTCTGGCCTAACCTCCATGTACATTCTGCAGCTTGAATCTTCTCTCATGTGTTCACTCCTACACAATCTGTATTTAGCTACACTTCCCTTCGAACTTTAATCTATTTACAGCAATTACGATATAGTTTCTCTCACCTATCAGACTTCCTGAACAGCTTGAACAGACTTTCCCTCAAAGACATCTTCTTCGCTCCTCTCAACCTATCCCCAAAGCTCTTCTTAACAGTCTCGCCCTCTTCTGCTATACGCACTGGTGTCTCTTCTTCCTCTCGCTCCTCTTCTTCGCCAGTCTGCAAATGCTCCATGATCCAACAAACAGCCTCCCTCACAGCTTCTGGCTTCTCAATAATCACATCATGACTGACATCCGGGATATGCACATATCGATTATTCCTAGAAAGTTGCAACTGTGCCTTTTTCAACCTCTCGTCTTCTTTGTCTGTCGCATCCAAAAGCTTCTTCTGCATCAGCAGGGTTGGGCTGGCGAGGTTTTGCTCTGCAGCGATGGCTTGATCATACTGTAGCTGCTTCCATTTCAGAGTATTGCCACGAATGACGACAAGTGGTTTGTTCCCCAAGATCTTCTTGTCGTATTGTCTCTGTTCGAGTTGTGCGTCTATCGTTGGCTCTGCGCCCGTTTCGGCGAGGACTATTCCTGCGACTTGGTGCGGTCTCGCTTCGAGGAAGAGCCTTGCGAAGGTGCCACCGTATGAATGCGCGATCAGCACATATTGCCTGGGCAAATCTCTGGTGTCGAGGAATTCCAACAGTTCTGAGATGGCTATATCGGTTCGGATGTATGGATCCTGCCTGTCCCAGAGCAGAAGCTGGTACGCGGGACCCAGGAGTTCTGCTAAATCCGCCCAGGACGCGCAGGAGTCGCCTGAGCCGTGGAAGAAAATGATCAAAGGATATGAGCTGCCTGTATTCCCGACTATCTCAAACTTTGTGATGGTATCTTGTGTCGCTTGTGCCATTTCCTTTGTTGTTTTTGGCATTTTATTGAAATGGCTGAGGTTTGACAATCGGTGAGCGTAAGCAGAGTGGGTCAATGCGACTCGATTGGATTGTTGGGTTTCATTGCTGCCTGCAACATCACGAGATTGATGATTAGCATATCTTCAATTCTAAAAAGCTGATGCCTGAACCAGAATCCTTGACATGTTAAACTTGTGAAGGAATAATCTCGGTATTTATTCACTCCGACACTCCGAAGATGGAGCAGGAGATGAAGCAATTGCCAACGGTGAATAATTCGCTGAAGATCAGATAATCTAGTGATGGTCTCTATATGGGAAGAGCTCACGACTCAAGAAAATAGCTTGCGGATGTTTCAGGATGAGAGGTCTTGTTCCTGGCTGCCTAATACATGATATCACCAGCCGGGCCGTCGCATGAAGCCGGTAAGCTTGATCCAAGATCGAACTCAGCCGCCACCAACGCATCAATTCACAGAGGTTAAACCAACGTGGTATAACACTAATCAACATCAAATCAATTCATGTAAAGAATAAGCATATTCCAGCGTAAATGATCCAACAAGAGCACAAGACCGAAATACAAAAGTATGTTTCTTACCCTGCACCTCAAGCCCGCTTCTACCCGGTGATCCCGCAGCCGAGGCTTCCAATCGTCTTTCCCTTCTCACAAGCTGTAGTCATCCCATTATTACTCAATTGTACTAGCGACAGGAACAAGGGCAAAAGTCCCGCCGTGAAGCTATCCACAGTCGTGCTATTCCAATCATCAGATGAACTGCAGGGTTTGTCATGATTGACATAATTGACCGAGATGGCTACGACTTGGCGGGATGCAGTGACAAAATAGCCCATCAGCGTGTCTCTGTAGAATCGAGGGACGTTTAGTTGGTGATTTTGGGGGCCGCAAGGGTTGTCGGGAATTTCCCCATGCGCCACTCAACTTCCCCATGGGAATCAGGGCTTGGTCCTGGGGATTAGCACTAGAAGAACATGGTCTCCAGCAGCTAATTCGAGTGCCACCGAGTCACAGACCGAAGTCGGCCCAATGATTGGGAACAAGAGGGAGTGGTGATGCAATGGCTACAAGTACCCTCGGATGACAAGGATATATCACTAACAGACTACCGCCTGGTATATGCTACGTGACGTTAATCTCGGATCATCATCTGATAGCAGTACGTCTCACTTCTCGTCGCAGCCACACTCGCTTCTGAAGCTCATCAAACCAACCCACGATCATTACCCAAAGCAACCACGCTCCGTCTCCCGCTCTTATTCATTCGTCAATGTCTCTCATTCACACTCATGAACCTCTTCAATTATGCATAAGTTCGGCCCGACATTGGACCAATCCCATGCTCGACCGTTACTCACCCAGCCGATTAATTTTACCATCATACTTTTATCACCTCTGAACCTTCCGTAAAAAAAAAAAAGCTGGGGAAAACCAAACCCCGCAAAATGGAGCCTCCCCCTCCAAGATCCCTGCACAGCATCACGCAACGAAAACCTGGTCCCGGCTCTTTTCTCGGCCATAACCTAGCTTAAGCTTGAGTTCCTGTCCAAGGGTTTCACGGCAATGATGACCGTTAAGGCGGGTTTTCTGTACGGAGTCTCCCTCGCTCTGTTCCTGAGCAGCGGAGTCTCCGCTGGTAGCATGCATCATGACGAGACGATTGAGAGTCACCGTGCCAAGAACGAATCAGTATATATAACCAAGCAATATGGCTTGATGGTCTTTCTCGCTCAGCAACCAGCTCTTCTCCTCTCAACCATGTTCTTCAAGACGCTGCTCACTTCGGCCGTGGCCTTTGGCACTGCTTTTGCCCAGAGCAAGGCTGGCGTTGAAGACCTTGACAAACCCCGCAGAGACCTCTTCGAGAAGGATCTCTCCAAATGTCCCGGCTACAAAGCTACCAACCACCGGGAGACCAAATCAGGTTTCTACGCTGATTTGTCTCTTGCGGGACAGGCCTGCGACGTCTTCGGTGTTGATCTCCCTGAGCTGAAGCTTGAGGTTGAGTATCAAACTGAGGACCGTTTGCATGTCAAGATCTTGGATACGAATAACACCGTCTACCAAGTCCCTGATGATATCTTCCCTCGTCCTGGTTATGGACAGTGGGCTTCACCTAAGAACTCGAAGCTCAAATTTGACTTCAAAGCGGATCCTTTTTCGTTCACTGTGACGAGGAAGGATTCTGGAGAAGTTCTTTTTGACACTTCGGGCAGCAAGCTTGTTTTTGAGAGTCAGTACTTGTACCTCAAGACCAAGCTTCCGGAGAGGCCTTATCTCTACGGCCTGGGTGAGCATAGTGATCCTTTCATGCTCAATGCCACCAACTACACCCGCACAATCTACACTCGCGATGCTTATGGGTAAGTCATCAGACCTTTTCTGTTATCTTGGAGCGATTATTAACGCGATTCAGCTGCCCCAACGGCCAGAACCTGTATGGAGCTCACCCCATTTACTTTGACCACCGCAAGGGCGGCACCCACGGTGTCTTCCTCCTCAACTCTAACGGCATGGATGTCTTCATCGACAAGAAGAACGGCAAGCAATTCCTAGAGTATAACATCATCGGCGGTGTTCTCGACTTCTACTTCATCGCTGGTCCTACACCCCGCGACGTCGCCAAGCAGTACGCTGAGATCACTACCCTTCCTCTCATGACGCCATACTGGGGTCTTGGTTTCCATCAGTGCAGATATGGATACCGAGACGTCTACGAAGTCGCTGGTGTTGTGGCCAATTATTCAGCTGCTAAGATCCCGCTCGAGACGATGTGGACTGACATTGACTACATGGACCGTCGTCGCATCTTCACCATTGACCCTGAGAGATTTCCTGCCGATAAGTACAAGGATCTCGTTGACACGATCCACGCTCGTGATCAACACTACATCGTCATGGTTGACCCAGCTGTGTACGACATGGAGCCCAACCCAGCTCTCACCAGCGGTCTTCAGTACGATACCTTCATGAAGGAGCCTAATGGCTCAGACTACAGAGGTGTTGTCTGGGCTGGACCTAGTGTCTTCCCTGATTGGTTCAACCCGAACTCTCAGCAGTACTGGAACGAACTCTTCCAGAACTTCTTCGACGGCGAGCATGGCCCTAACATTGATGCTCTCTGGATCGACATGAACGAGCCCGCCAACTTCTTCAACCGTCCTTATCCCGGTAACAACACCACTCCCGAGAACTTCGCCGAGGTCGACGGCGACCCTCCCAAGGCCCCTCCCGTTCGAGACGGTCCTCCCGCTCGCATCCCTGGATTCCCCGAGAGTCTCCAGCCTCCCTCTCTCCGCTCCACCAAGCGCGAAGTCACAGCCGTCGCCAAGACCACCAAGCGCTCCGTCGAGGTCCGCACTACTCCTCGTGGCCGCGGTGTTGGTCGCTGGGCAGCTACCCGCAAGGTCTGGGGCCAGAACAAGTACGGACGTCCCGGCCACGGCTGGCAAAATGGCAAGAAGACTGGTTCTGGCTGCGGCCCTGACGAGTGCAAGGGTCTTCCCAACCGAGAGCTCATCCAGCCTCCTTACATGATCCAGAACGGCGCTGGACCTACACTTGCTGACAGTACCACCGATACTGATCTCGTTCAGAGCGGAGATTACGTTCAGTATGATACCCATAACTTGTATGGTGCTCAGATGTCCTCTCACTCTCACAACGCTATGCGCTCGCGACGACCTGATAAGCGTGCTCTTGTCATCACACGAAGCACCTTTGCTGGTTCTGGCAAGGATGTTTCGCACTGGCTTGGCGATAACCTTTCTCAGTGGGATCAGTACCGTTTCTCCATCTCTCAGATCCTGCAATTTGCTTCTATCTATCAGATCCCCGTTGTCGGTGCTGATGTTTGTGGATTTGGTGGTAATGTCACTGAGACCCTTTGCGCACGATGGGCTACCCTTGGTAGTTTCTACACTTTCTTCCGTAACCACGCCGATATTACTTCTCAGTCTCAGGAGTTTTACCGCTGGCCCAAGGTTACTGAGGCTGCTCGCAATGGTATCTCCATCCGATACCAGCTCCGTAAGTTACTCTTTCCCTCTGTATGAACGTTCGCTAACAGGAACAGTTGACTACATCTACACTGCCATCTACAAGCAGAACCAGACCGGCTCTCCTACTCTCAACCCCATGTTCTTCAACTACCCCAAGGACAAGAACACCTACTCCATTGACCTCCAGTTCTTCTATGGTGATGGTATCCTCGTCAGCCCTGTTACCAAGGAGAACAGCACCAAGCTCGAGTACTACCTCCCTGACGACATCTTCTACGAGTGGTCCACCGGAAAGCCCGTCCGCGGTAAGGCTCAGTACGAGTCTGCCGAAGTCGACGTCACCGACATCATGGTCCACTACAAGGGCGGCCTGATCTACCCCCAGCGCGTCGAGAGCGCCAACACAACCAAGGCTCTCCGCCAAAAGGGCTTCAACCTAGTGATTGCACCCGGTCTCGATGGAAAGGCCGAGGGCTCCCTGTATCTTGATGACGGAGAATCTGTTGTTCAGGACACGGCTTCTGAGATCGACTTCAAGTACAGCAAGGGCAAGCTGAGCTTTGATGGAACCTTTGAGTATGATGCTGGTGTCGGTATTGAGACTATTACAGTTTTGGGTGTCAAGTCTAAGCCTCATGGTACGGAGCATGCTGAGTACGATGCCGAGAACAAGAAGCTTGTTTTTACTGCGGATATTCCGTTGACGCGCAAGTGTCGCGTTGACTTGTTCTGAGATGAACAGGATGGAACCTGGTTATGATTATGATTCTAGTTCTGACGGTAGTTCACGGAAAGTATCAGCTTTCGTCTGACATTTATGAATAAATATTAATCGATTATTCTTGTGGATTTCTGTTCCTTGTGGCCCCCCAAAAGTGTGTATATGTCGAGAACCTTGCGCCGAGATTCATTCATAGGAAAAATGCCTTCTCATAGCCCTTGATTCCGTACAAAGACACGGAAAGAGTGAAATCCACGCAAATGGAATGGAACACAAGTCACGAGAAGGACGTGGAAGGTAACACTATAGGCCTTGATCAAGTAAGTCTGTTGTATAACAAGGAATATGCAATTAGTAATTGACCAACGCCATGGCAATTGACAGATGATATAGAGTTGACATATCAGAAATGACAAACACAGTGAAGATCTACCAATATTCACGCTGTCTGATATGGCGATGTGCTCGGATTGGCTGCTGACGTATTTTGCCGAACAATTTAAGCGGCTGATGACTGTGCCGTGGGGTTTTGTAGTGGCCGATGGCTCAAACTTCTCTGCCTTCATCCAGGACTGATCATTGTACTTCTGGTGAGAATTCATCATGACGACGACACAGACAGCTCTGCAAACTCCTCTCGAGACAATTTCCCTAGAAAACAGGAGCCAGAATGAAGACCTCCCTGAGACTCGGCGTCCGGGGCGAGTCTTTGAAGCTGACCCTGCATTCACGACAAGTCCAGCATCACGTCGACTCATCATCTCTTTGTTGGTTTGTGCAAACATGATCCAGGTACCTAAATCGAGTCTACAAGTTTCCAGATATTGGAGAATCATTCACTGACCTTTCCTCAAGTTCATGTCCAATTGTATCACCATCGTCGGTGGTCTCGCTCTCAGTAAAGACCTGGGGCGTGAATCAGGTCCCGGCAAGGCGAATTGGATGGCCGCTTCATATCCGTAAGTACGGATCCTCTCACGTCTTTTTTTATCACGATGCTGACATCGATAGACTCACTCAAGGTGCATTCGTCCTAGTAACGGGCCGACTAGGCGCCATCTACGGCCATTCGCAACTCACCCTTCTCGGCTGTGCAATCTTCACCCTGTTCTCTCTCATCAATGCATTCACCAAAACCTATGACTCTTTTATCGCCATGCGTGCTTTGACCGGTGTCGGTGGAGGTATCTTTATGCCCAATGCTGTCTCAATTATCACTACCATGGTTCCACCAGGTCGATCGCGAAATGTTGTGTTGGGTTTCTTTGCAGCGTCGCCGCCTCTGGGAGGAATGATCGGTTCGTTAATCACGGGCGTCTTTATTGATAATGTGAGCTGGATGTGGCTTTTTGTTCTCATGTAAGTGTTCTGTTGCTCTGCTGGGCCTTGACTGACGCATGTATTAGTGCTGGTATCGCAGCTTTCAATCTGGCGTGGTTGGCGTATCTCATACCGAAGGAAATCCCTGTTGATAAAGGAGGGCACATCGATATTCCTGGAATTATCTTGGGACTCGGAAGCTTGCTTCTTTTCAACGTAGTATGCAAGTAAGTACAACTTGCCCTTCACATTCTTACCCTTGACTGACCATTATAGCCAAGCACCATCAGCTGGATGGAACGCACCCTACGAGATAGCCCTGTTGGTTCTTTCTGTGGTAATGTTCCTGACCTTTCTGTTCTGGGAGAAGCGTTATGCCAAAGACCCCATAATGCCGTTGTCAGTCTTCCAAGCACCTACTTTCACAGCTTTGGTCTTCGTTGTGCTTCTGGTATGCGTTACCTCTGACGAGCCTCTCTTGCTTGTTCATACACTAAATATATCAAACAGAGCTACATGGCATTCGGGATCGGTCTCTGGTACTCGACGAGTTGGCAGTACCTCCTGCGCGAACTATCTGTCACCCAAATTGGCATTAATTGGGTACCATTTGGGCTAAGCTCTGTGCTTGCCGTGTTTTTCGCAGCATGGCTAATCCCCCGCGTTGCAGCACAGTGGATCATGGCGATCGGGGTGACAGTCACTCTAGTTGGCAATATCCTCCTCGCGACCATGCCAGTGCAACAAACATACTGGGCGCAGGTCTTCCCAGCCATGATTCTCTACGGTTTCTGCCCCGACTTGGTATATGTCGCCGCACAGGTTATCGCGAGCAACAGCGTCAGCCGTCGTCAACAGGGCGTAGCGAGTAGTCTGATCGGAACTCTTAATCTTTACGGAAATAGTTTGGGCCAAGGATTTGCCGGGACGATTGAGACGGAGGTTGGAACGAATAACGATGATGAGGTAAGGGGCTACAGGGCAGCTCTGTACTTTGCAGTTGGCCTGGCAGTGCTTGGCTTGGCTTTGGATATCTTGTTTGTCAGGGTGCCGAAGGATCAGCGCGAAGGATGGGATGATCCGTCAGAGAGCGGTGAGCAAGAGCTGAATGGCATGACTACCGCTATTGAGGGTCGAGCCTCACTGCGAACTTGAGTCGTGTCTTGGAATGGAAAACGGTGATTCGAAAGGGAGGGCATATTGATTAAAAGCAAACACCTATTCAGTCGAGGTGGATGGTCCACTGTTTCTCCCCTTCAAAGAATCCTTGTATGCGTCCAACCGCTGGGGGAGGATGAATGAGACGAGACTGGTCGGTGCCTGAGCATGGGAGAACCGCAATTATATACTACCTGTATGTTGCAGCTCATGCTTGAAGGTAGTGGCAAAGGATCTTGAACCTGACATAGTCCATCGGTCGGGTTTACTGGCTAAATATAACTACATAATAAGAATTGGAAATAAAGAAGAATGAAAACTTGGAATCGTCTAAGCCCCATGGGTCATGGTCAATGCGCAGCAAAAGGACCCAAAACTCCATTCAAGAACAGGCGATGCTTCAAGGATACCGCTGAAGGATCGCAGCCAAGACCCTAAGCGAGCAGTCTGCGCAAAGCCCGATTCGCCAGGCTGTTGAAGGATTCAAGACGAGACAGGTCCTTATTTCGATTAAGCTGTTATGGTAACGTCGACCCAAAATGCTCCCCACCAGTCAATGCATTAAAGATGTCGAATTTCCATCCTTCAGGTTACATTTTCAAAACCCTCCGACTTGTTCTAATTCTCGACGATCAAAATGCCTTTCTCTCTCCCGCACAACGCGCTACGACGACGAGACGATGATGACGAAACAGAAGATGGGTGGTGCGATGTCGCGACCATTGAGGATCAATTCCTCTGGCCTCGTGAAGGCAAAACTTGGGTGCGTGGACAAACACAGATGGTGGGCTGGGGAGCCGGGCGCGACGTCAACGGAACATGGGACGAAGGGAGCGCCAAAGTGAAGTTGGAGTTGAGGTGGTGGACAGGCACATATGGCCCAGGCCCGGACGATCTGAAACCTATAGTGATATTTGGTGAGTCTGGTATTGGTTCTCATGACAAAAGCTCTGCTAACTGGGTATAGACAACAAGACCTTTGACTACCCTTCCTCCGACTGGAAACTCTGGAACCCCAATTGCACAGACACATACATGAACTACACCTGGACAATACCGATGGACTTGGATGTTGGCGACTCGAAATTCACAATGACGGTGTACGATGTGACGAACCGCAGCGATATAAACATGTTGCAGAGTAGTTTATTCTTCATCAGCGCGGACAACGGAACATCAACAGCAGATTCAAATGCCGGCACCTCAACACCAGAATCCTCACAAGAAACAACAACCTCGACGGGTCTTGCAACTGGTACAAAAGCAGGTATTGGCGCAGGCATCGGTGTCCTTGCCTTAGTGCTGCTCCTCGCGGGCTTCTTCCTCTACCGACGCAAGAAGCGACAAACGCCAAGGACTACCCCAACAGATCCAGATGGATTTGAAAAGCCAGAGCTTGATGCTAAGTCGACTGGCATTTCTGAAGTTGATGGGACTGGGATATCTCCGCATCAAGCGCCGGATAATGCGATATACGAGGCGCCCGGCGTGTTGGTCCATGAGGCACCCACTGGAAAGGAGCAGACGGTGGCGGAGAAGATGAAAGCAGCACAGCAGATTAATGAGGAACCGATTGAGATGCCGGCGGATTCACCTATGTCATCACCAAAGACATCCCAGGACAGGCTGAATAGGACATAGTATTAACACAAATTCGGTAGCTTTGGTCAAGATCCAGCATGTCAGTTGGTGAGCCACCTTTACGATTGAGGACTTGCGTTTCGTAAGAACCTCTCCGCCGTCTTTTATTGCAACAGCCTCAGCATCGTGACATCCCATTACCACGTGGCACAGCAGTCTAACATTCGTGGTTAGTGTATCACTAGTAAGCTAACCCCTGCTATAAGACCTCACCCTAAGAGCCTCTCATCCCCGCGCCTCATTTCACGCCGCGATAAATACAACGTGTCGAGGCCTCCACCCTAACCACGGCGCACGATGTCTTCAAAGCTCTGCACGCCATGCCAACAAGCGTTCTCTTCCGAACCAAAGCCTCTGGATCGTGATTCCACCATCGCCGGCACTCCCTTCCACGAAGCGCCGTGGAAAGCCTTCCAGACTGGTGCACACATAACCGTGTCCGTGAAAGATTGCGACTTTTGCTCCTTTGTTGTCGCGTTTGCAGCGGCGGACCAAGCCCTTGGCAGACATGGAAATGGATCCTTCGCAGATGGAGCCGGTAAAACGTCTTGGAGGACACAGGGCGACCCAATGCTAGCGCTATGGCAGTATAATGAATATACGTATGAAGGCCATCTTTCGGCGGATCTCGGTCTCAGCAGGAGTAATCTTCGCCATATGGATAGGCTTGATATACGGCTCTTTGGAACCAAAGGTGCGCTACCTAGCCATTGCCAGTATCACTAAACTAATTGGCGATAGATCCTCGTGTGAAATGCCACAGACCAATCAAAAAGACGTCAACAAGTACATCAAGTGAGACTAGTTTTGAATGCTTGTCCAAGTGGATCAAGAATTGTTCGGAGAATCATAAGTCATGCAACAAGTTACATGCCCGCACTGGTGAGAACAAGAATTGGCTTCCAGCGCGGCTGGTCAAGATCATCCCAGATACAGATGGCGTACCTGAGATTATCAAAGTTGTAGAAACCAACACAGACGACGGAATTCCTCTTAGCACAGAATATGCGACGTTAAGCTACTGTTGGGGAAGGGAACCATTCACGAAACTACTCAGATCGAATATCGAGAAGATGACGACCACTGGGATGTCGATACAAGACCTGCCAGCGACCTTCCGCGATGCAATCACCGTTACAAATCGTCTTGGTATGGAGTACATCTGGATAGATGCTCTTTGCATCATCCAGCTTGACGCGGAAGACTGGGGCTTGCACTCTGTGACAATGGCCAAAGTCTACTCATACTCAGCGATCACGCTCGCAGCAGCAGCATCATCAGATGCACATGGAGGACTCTTTCGCGAACGCAATCCAGCAGGCATCAATGGTGTTAAATTGGATTTAGAATGGCCCTCACACGACCTTGATGGAGAATTTCACCTGGTACCCACAGATCCCTGGGAGAAAGCAGTCGGAAACTCACCACTGCTGAAACGCGCGTGGGTGTTCCAGGAACGGCTTCTATCACGAGGAGCCGTCTACTTTGCTCACGATATGCTTTACTGGGAATGTGGTGAGCTCTACGCTTCGGAACTTTATCCCACGGGAGGGCCTTGGGATCTACAGTACCGATACAAGCGATTTGACATTTCTGATAGGCTTCCCTCTGGCGTACAGTCGGTAGAGGATTGTAGGTTCAAGCATGTTTACACGGAACTTCTCACGCGAGAGTTGAATGCAGGGAATACAGCCACAGATGAAGAGATGTTTCTGTACGTATGGGCGTCAGTGGTGGCTCAGTATAGCGTCGGCAAACTGTCGAAAGAGAGTGATAAGCTCATCGCTATTGATGGTGTAGCTGAGCAGCTGACGACAATCGTGCCAAGAGAGCAGTATCTTAACGGGCTTTGGAGACAAGACAGTCTTCCACTTTCTCTACTATGGCGCACTCAAACGGAAGATGAGCCCCCCAGCATCCGCGTTGCGCCGAGTTGGTCCTGGGCATCTGTCTACACGCCCGTTGACTTCAATTTCCTGTTCCGAGCACAGACTGAGCCCAAGGTGGTCACGAAAGTCATCGATATTATCATCCCCGACGATGAGCCAGAGAGCATCGAGATGTCGCGTCCAACGGCACTGGTTCTTCAAGGGCCTCTCACAGAAGTGCGCTTTCGATCTGCTTCACGCAGTGGACTAGGACCCTTACACTCAAACTGGTGGATGAGCCACAAGACTATGAGAGATCGCATCAAGTTCTTGAACCCAATTGACTTGACGCCCATGCTTGTATTCATTGGTAAAGGTTTGAAAGCAGATTATCCCTGTTCTATCTCGCTAGATAGGGAAGTGCCGAAGAACAGTCGAATCTTTGCGCTCAAGATTGCGGGAGCTGATATCAGACATCCTTGGCAGCAGAGATTACCGTCTGAGTGCGGCTTGTTATTAATTGCAGGTCGAGAACGAGGGGCTTTTAGGAGAATCGGCATGTTTGAGATTGCTGCTGAGAAAATGAAGAGGGATTGGGCGGACCAGAAGACACCATTCACGTCGATTCTTAAGTTGAGAGAAGAAATCTGGAGTGATTCAGGGATAGAAAGGAGATTTTATTTGGAGAGAGATGAGAAAGATGGATATACTATCAAGATAGTCTAACAATGAGGTCAAATGGTCATTTGCGTTTTCATTGAGCCAATGAGGAATTCTACCAAGGGCATGAAACGCGTGACAGGATAGGAATACGGTATTGTTGGCCAGATCCTTTACTGGAAATGAAGCAGGTATAGTTGTCGGGCAGTTTCGGGTGAATTTGTGGCTGTAAAGGTGAACTGAAGCCATTTGACTCTGGCGCTAGTGATACGCAACGCCATGGGCAACGACACGGCAGGGAGCCAGGAACCTTGGCGCGGCGGACAGTTACGGAGGCGGTCAGTGATTTAGCCATGCTAATAAGGATTTACAGTTTGGCAGGAAATTAGTATGCAACACGAAAATTGAGCCTCGTGGCACAAGCAAGCACGTGTCGGCCAAAGCCAATTGGTATCACTTGAGCATCATAATGATGCCGTACAACAAGGCCTGAATCTCAACGGATCATCAAATCTATCCAACACCCGGAATGTCTCACATTCACCGCCAGTTCGTTCTCGTTATTTACGCTGTATTACCCTGTACTCCAAGCCACCAACATGTCTCAATCTGCCTTATCTTGGCGCCAAACAATTAAGCTCGCAACGCGCCCGCGCACACGCGTCCGCTTGCATAACTCAAACCAACATAATTTCAAGCCACGAATACATACTCTAACCGTGGCCGGGTGACAGATCCACCTGCTGATCGATGACGATGCCCCAACCACTAAAACTGCCGTGATTATCATTATCTCATCCCTTTGTACTACACATTCCTTCTCTTCCTCTTTCACATTCTCACACTTAACTTCATTGTATACGATATACACACGCACCATGGCAAGAATTGCAGAGAGCCTGCCTAGGGCTGGCTCGACGACTACTGTTACGACGCAGAGAAAGAAGAAGCCCATTGAAGCCAAGGCGCTGACGACAGAGGTTCAGATGTTGGCGGGTGCTGATGTTTGGGGTCGTGCAGCATTTGGGAGGTCGTGGCTGCGATCTCTTGTTGGTGCATCGCCTCTGTTCCTCGCGCCAATGGCTTCGATATCCATCTTCATCACACTGGCCGAATACGAAGGATCCCTCTCGCTCTTCGCAGACGCCGTAAAAGAACACGGCTTCTGGACCATTTGCGCCCAGTACGGTCCGCACCTCACCACCAAAGGCATCGCCGCAGTTATCTGCTGGGTCGGGATCCAAGCCCTTCTGTACTGCCTACTCCCCGGCGAGCAGCACCAAGGCCAATTGACACCAGCCGGCTATCTCCTCAGCTACAAAATCAACGGTCTCTCCGCCTGGATCGTGACGCATCTGCTCTACGGAGTCCTCAGCTGGTTGGGGATTCTGGACCCTGGCTTCATTCCCCGCAATTGGAGTAGCTTGATTGGAGCTATGAATTTGGCTGGGTTCGTTATTTCGGCACTTGCGCTTGTCAAAGCGTACGTAATGCCGACTCACCCAGAAGATAGGAAGTTCAGCGGTGAGTCTGCCGCTTTTGAGTTTTTGGCGTAATTAAACACTAATTTTGATATGGACAGGGTCGTTCCTCTATGATTTCTTCATGGGCATTGAGTTAAACCCGAGGTTGGGAGAGAATTTTGACCTTAAGCTTTTCAGTAATGGCAGGGCTGGGATGATGGTGTGGACCCTGATGTAAGTCTGGCTAATTCGATACGAGAACGCAAACTTACGTGATCCAGCGACTTTTCGAACATGGCGTATCAGTATCAGAATCAGGGATATGTTGAACCTTCGCTCATCCTTGTCACCGCACTGCAGACCATTTACGTAGTGGATTTTTTCATTAACGAATCCTGGTATCTGCGCACAATCGACGTCAAGTTCGACCATTACGGCTTTTATCTTAGCTGGGGCTGCTTCTGCTTCTTACCAACAACATACACCATCCAAGGCCAATATTTGGGCCGCTACCCATCATCACCTTCAACACCTTACCTAGCATTCTTCTTCGTCCTCGGAGTAGCAGGTTACATCCTCTTCCGCTCCGTGAACCACCAAAAGGAAATCGTACGACGCACCGGCGGAAAATGCACCATCTGGGGTAAACCGGCAGAGTACATAGTCGCATCCTTCAGGACCTCCGATGGCCGGCAGCACAGAAGTCTTCTCCTCTGCAGCGGTTGGTGGGGATGGTCTCGGCACGCGAATTACCTGGGCGATCTGATTCTTAGCTTCAGCTCTTGTGCGCTGGTGGGTAGTACGAGGGCTGTGGTGTGGACGTACGCGGTGTGGATGACGGTGTTGCTTGTGCATCGGTGTATACGTGACGAGAAGAGCTGCTCGGTTAAGTATGGTGCTGCGTGGACTGAGTATTGCAGACGTGTGCCTTGGCGATTTATTCCTGGCGTTTGGTAACATCTTGGGCTTGAAAGACTTTGATCTAGGGAGATTTGTGTTGCGCTTGGTGTAAGGTTGTGAAACAGCGTGGATAGATGGTGTTACTTGTCCTCGGGGTAGATACTCGGCCCGGGTCTAGACTCGATAGATTTAGAATGTTGTGCTGGTTATACATTTTATACTTGCGAATGAGAAGTCTTTCTCTTTCTGTGGAACGAATGTGTAGCCGATTCTTGTAATTTGGAAACAAGGCATCAGGGTGCCAGTCGCCCACATGGATCGACTGGGCAAGGTCGCGTGTAGGCATCATCACCGCCTTTTCCTTCCCGTCTGCTGTCTCAGTTTAATCATTATGATGTTGGTCAAAGTTACACCGTCGATTCGCCTTACTCGGAAGTTGCCAGGTATGGAGTCTACCAAGTTAGTCTTGGTGCAAGTTATTAAATAGGGAGATAGACAGAATTCTGAGCATACATATTCGTCGATCCGTCCAACGTTCAAGTCTTTCACGGCTCATGCAAGTTATCTTATGCCATGGAGCGCCATAACCAGATTGTGCAGGATATTGCGGATAAAATAGGCGACTTCTACAAGCTCCGCAAGCCATACCGCGTCTTTCATGGTTCTTCAAGCAGTACTCGTCTTCGCCATGCGACTGAGGCGAATGTCATCGATATTAGCATGCTATCGCAAGTCATATCAGTGGACACTGCGCAAAGAACCTGTCTTGTGGAGCCGAATGTACCGATGGGCCGACTCGTCGAGGCCACTATGCCATACGGCCTGGTACCGCCAGTAGTGATGGAGTTCCCAGGAATCACAGTAGGAGGAGGCTTTGCAGGAACATCGGGGGAAAGCAGCTCATTTTGACATGGTTTCTTCAACGAAACGGTCGACTTTGTGGAAATGGTACTTGGAAACGGAGATATAATCCGGGCATCGCGCGAGGAACATGAAGATCTGTTTCATGGTGCTGCAGGCGCTGCAGGGACTCTAGGTTTGACGACATTGATACAGATCAGGCTCATCGAAGCGAAGAAGTTTGTCAAGACAACGTATCACAGAGTTGACAGTGTGTCGTCTGCTATCTCCACAACGCAGCAGTGTTGCGAGAAAGTACATGTTGATTACGTTGATGGTATTCTCTATTCGAAGGACCATGGCGTTGTCATTACTGGCAAGTTGACCAACACCAAACCAGATGACTGTCCGGCATGGACTTTCAGTAACGCGGGAGATCCGTGGTTCTATCTCCATGTGAAAGCTCAGACCGAGACTCTCCCTCCCTCGTCAAAAGTCACGGAATACATACCACTCGGCGAATACCTCTTCTGGTATGATAGAGCTGCTTTCTGGGTCGGTCGCCAAGGATACACATACTTCAAGATCGTCCCGTTCAACAGGTTCTTCCGCTGGCTTCTGGATGACTACTCTCATACCCGGACACTGTATCATGCACTTCACGCAAGTCGAATCTCGGATCAGTTCGTGGTTCAGGATCTAGCATTGCCATACGACACAGTCGAAGCATTTATTGACTGGGTGGATTCAGAATTAGGGATATGGCCCCTTTGGCTTTGTCCTCTGAGAGGCTGTCGAACACCTACTTTTCATCCCGTCACGAAAAGCTCTTCAGTTACCGACGCAGGGGATAACATATCGCAATAAATGCTCAATATTGGTGTCTGGGGCTGGGGGCCTTTAGACCGAGAAGAGTTCAAGGCGAAGAATCAGGCTCTGGAGAAGAAATTGATGGAACTTGGTGGTCGTAAGTGGCTTTACGCACATACCTACTACGACGAGGAGCAATTCTGGGAATTGTACGATCGGCCGTGGTATGAGAGACTCAGAGAACGGTATTTCGCCACGACTTTGCCAACCGTCTACGACAAGGTGAAAAAGAGTGGCCTTGGTGCGGACGAGAGGGATGATAAGGGCTGGGGATTCGGGAAGCTGTTGAATAAGTGGCCGATCGGTGGAATCTACGGTATGATACTGGCGTTTTACTCTGGGGACATCAATCTCCATCGTCGAGCGAGATGGAGGTATGTGAGCCAGTAGTGCGCCCGAGGCTGAATCCATCGCAAGCTGGTTCGTCTAATTCATCTGCCGTGCGAGGGGAGTTTTCAGCTTGACAGGGATCTTGGTGCTGCACCCAGCTTCGTTGCCGCGAAAATAATACAGGACTGTAGGCTCCAATAGTTCGTGACATTTTGAACAAGATCACCATTAGGCGAATTATCATCACCCAGAAGTGAATCTACTCCTCACCATTGCCCAAGATGCCTGTATTCTATTAATCGTTATGGTGTTCATAAAGGCGTTCTTATCAATGAGGCCACCGAATGCCCCCCAACTCCAATGCTGACATGCAGATCAATATTGATCTTGGCAGTGGCGAGGTGCATGAGGGCGTGACAATAAATAAGGCTCTCCAGGCATCAAGGCACAATCGCAATTTCTGCTTTCATACTCCAAATATTCCCCATTATTAGGAATTAACCTTGAAGCAGACCCGCGTTCCGAGATAATGGTAGAAAGAAGTTTCCAGTACCTCTCGAGGCTCCAGTACCTCTCGAGGCTCAACTTCACCGATATCCCATTCAAGCAGTTCACCATCCCCCATGAATGGAGAGAATGGGAGAACGCATGGCTTTATCGTCTACCCGCCATCATCAATAATGCTGGCATTCCTGCTAAATTGATCGAGAGCGGGTGCATCGTTGACAATGTTACCAATTGTTCCATGGCATGCGGAAGGGAAGATCTCATGTTTTCGAACCCCGAAACGCTATCGAACTGCCTTACCTTGGCGACCGTCGCTATAATGACTACCAATCGCGGGCGTGATACCATTAGCAACCAGACATTAGAAGAGGTGGATAGAAGGTTTAACATTGGGCGCCTAGACGAGTTCTGGCGAAGGGGCGCATTGTTGAAGTATGTCAAATGCGCGCTTCAGTCATGTTCAGACTCCAAGTTTGGAGGATGTCCTCAGGAGCTTTGGGCGTTTCAATGCCAGGCGATCACTTCAGAGAATATCAGGGACCTGGGCAGAATCATGGGTGCTGAGTATTGCGATAAAGCTGATCCTGGAATCGATTATGATATTGCCGGACCTGGCGTAAGTTTACATCGCTAAGACCGGAAGGCTTTGCTAACTACATATAGATAATCGTGGCATATCTGATACAATTCACGATAGTTCTGCTCTTTGCATCTTGCTACAAGATCACAAAGACCTGGACCAGGAACTTCACGTTGATTTCGCTTCTTCCATTCCATGGACCTGCCGGCGCCTTCGAGACGGCCTTACAATGGCAGGAAATGGTTTCCAGGAGTAGCTTCGGAGTTACAGTTGCATCGACTCTTGTCGATCTTCAAGAAGCTCAAGCTGTGTTTCTCGGTACCATCTCTATAGCTGCTATCGTCACCTTCTCAAGTTCCAGCGGAACGGGACTTGGTAACATCAGCTCGCTACTCTCCTGGCTGACGAACAACCTCACTGTGAGGGGAATGACCTCAGCGGGAATGTACCCCCTACTGTTTGTCCAGCTAATTCTTCAAAAGACCCACAACCGTTGGTGGTATACACTTGCTCTTGTGTTTATCAACTGGGTTCTTGTTATGCTCATTGCTCGGCCCCAGACTGTCGATGAGTCTTCTTTGTTGAAGCACTTTACTGAATCTTCGTCTCTAGAACGCTGCGGAAACCACATCGGACCAAGGACGTTCTGTCAGACGTTCAACAAGCCCGCAGCGGGAGGCTCTAGTTCCACTACGGATGAAAAGTCGGGCTATCTAGATCGAGATGGGGAGAACTTCTTCAAGTTTCACTCCAGGACACAGACGCCCATCCATGTAATCATGGTATTCCTGATACTGGACTGGATCCTTGCTATGATCAGGGTATACCTCTTTGAGCAGGGTGATTGGTTATCTCGCAAGGTCCATGCTCTGACAGATAGCTTGCCTTTGCGTCTAAAGTCGTCCAATTCCCAGAGGTACTTTGTACTCTTCTCAGAATCTCTCTGGATCTCGATGGAGGTCCTTTGTATCGTCATGGGCGCAATCGGCGTACAAGAGTTTGCGGCATTTATGCATCTGCTCAGTGGCGGGGAATCAGGCAACGAGAGCAAGGTTGCCCTATCCAAATGGGGCTTTGGGCAGCTGGTAGCGGTTTGCGTATGGGTTCCTGTAATACTCAAGTTTGCTTGTCTTATGGTTGGTAAGTCAATATCACTCTCTCATCTCGCCCAGTCCAAGCTGATAGCTGACAAATTGAAGACGGAGCTCTACCTGGTTGGAGAAAACGGCTGGGCAAGTTTATCGAGATTACACAGCGCAAAGAAACCGATCCAGATGAAAATAATATTGCTATGCAACGTTTGCTTCTTCCGTCCAGACCTACCAAGAGGGGCCAGACGGATGAAGTAGAGGGGCGTACTTTGACGGCGAGGCGATCTTGGGGTAGAACATATGAGTAATTTGAGATAGGTTGGTTTAGGCGCCAGGAATTACAGTTCTATGCATCTAGTAGTCCAATATCGCCCGGTAATGTACTGAAAGGTGTCATGATGGCATGCACGTTGCACGCATCTGTAATTCTGTGCTTGGTGCGGTTGAAAGGCTTTGCCGAGGAGCTTGCTGAACTAACTTGGCCAATCAGCTAGCCCATAGAGCCATCGAGGCCTGTGAATCCAAGCTGAAAGATCTCGCGAGGCGCTATCGGCTTTTAGCGTGTAATGTCTACCCCGAAATAGGACTTGGATACAGAATCACCAGACCATTTTTAGAAACAATCCCCTCAATCTTTTCTCATATGTTTTGCAGCATCTGTCTCATTCTTACACGTTCCAAACCACTATGGCTTCATCTAATCCCGAACGAACCTACGCTCGATGGCCTCTCCGAGACGTGCCCCGTACACCTGCGACAGACGTCCTGCCCATAGGACCTGAAGCAGATGGAATTCCAACAGTGTTTGACGATGATTCACGCACATTAGTTGATCCGGCGCACTACCTGCCTGGAAGGAAATATCACTGTAAGTCTTTAAGGCACATTCCAGAGCTAGCCCAAACCTGGCTCTGCGTTCAGCTATTGCCAAGCTCCAGATTCGATTTGAAGGCCAGGATGCTAGCGACACGCGTCATGCTCAAGCTACAGGATGGCTAATCATGCCTCATCTCATTATTACCGCCGCCCACTGCGTTTACGATCATACACACGACTTTGGCAAAGCCGTTCAAGTCCGCGCTTTCGTAGGATACAATGGCAAGAACTCTGTTGACCAACCTGGTGTTCAATTCCGTAGGGGTCTCAAGGTCGTCGTTCCGAAAGACTGGATAATCAGTGACACCAACCGCGCAAGTGATGTCGCCTTCATAAAAGTGGAAGAATTCAACGATATAGTGCGTATTGCCCAGCAGCCCACTGCAGGGATCGTGAACAAGATGCTTTTGAGCGTGGTTGGATACCCGTGCGACAAATCCTTGGTTGATGAACCAGGAGCGCAAATGTATGAGATGACCAAAAGAATAGATTGCGATCTTTCGAAAACAGCCGTCAATTTGCTCGAGCACACGATATCTTTTGCAAGTGGTGAGAAGTGGCTTTTCATCCGAAATATTCACGATACTGACCAGATATATCAGGTCAATCTGGATCCCCTGTTCTCATCAATGGCGAAAGCAAGGCTATCAGCGTGTCTTCATATGGTACCGGAACCAGGAACACGGCAACTGTGTTTCGAGGTAGATTCGGAACCTATCTCAGCGGCATGTCTGCTGTCATGTTTGGCTTGGACCGTGCTCCTGCTGGCAGCGAAGATATCAGATACACCGTGACCATAGGCCGCCCAGAGGGTAGTGTGACAGAAGAGCCCCTCAGTGATGGAAAACCCTTTGGGGCAGTTTTCAGGAAGGTTACCAGCGTCGGCCAAAAAGTTGATCGTTCCATATTACGAACTGGATTCCCTTTCATGGGCCAGGTGGGCGGTCCTATCACTGCCGTTACAGGTACCGCACTGGGTGTGATGAGCAATGTTTTGTATCTCTGGTGTTTCTTCATAGTGTCTTACTCAAAATAACACGATGCGTCTGCGCATTACCGCAAGATGGTCTCCAATGTTCTTCTATGCTGTGACATTCTATCAGGGCTCAGCTTTAGACTTTGAGGCCTTCCAATGTCTCAGGGGAATGCTGAAAATGTGCGGGGCTCGAGACACGATTGGCCTGTATTGCAGAGATCGACCTATACTACAGGGGATGATTGGTTCCATTGCTACTTCTTCCCATACTAGGTCTAGAGGTCGTTGTTGAGTTAGGGCAATGCCGTGTTCTCATTCATCATCTGTGTTTGCAGCCTGAAGCTTAACCTTATGGGCCGCCGTCAAGCCATAGTTGAGTCAGTGCCTGAGATTGGTGGCCAGATACTTCTCAACCGCCAATGAGGCTGCTTTTCAAGCTCTGGGGGCATTTTGCAATTTAACGAATGTCAAACTTTGAGCTAGGAAGAAGAAGAGAAACCTTAGCGCGGCTTACGTAAATTTATCAGCCAGATGCGTTATTTCTATTTGAGACTTCTGGCTTACAGCTTAAATCACCAGGGAACTAGTTTCACCGGGGCAGTCTAGCACGAAACGATTCACAAACGCAATTGTATATAAATATGACAGAAACGGTTAACAATATCTGTTCTGTGACCATACAACTCAGGTCTTCTCCCAGATCAGGTACATAGCCGCGATAGAGGAACGAAAACTCACGCCCTCCCTTCTCCTTCACAGACTGTCGATTCATTTCCCCATTTCCCATGACACCATGTCTTCAAAGAAGGGCGGCTACATGCGCTCATCGAGAATCAGTTTGTAGGCGTCTCACTCTTTCTGATCTCCACCCATAAACATGCGACGGATAAGGTAGGGCTGAATGTCTTTGGGGTTGGGAATGGGAGGCCAGATTTGAATCTTAACCTCGGGCTCGATGGTGGTGATGACACTGACGCGCTGCGGGTCATGTGCAAGATCTGGAACCTTCTCCCACGCAATGGTCCACTTGATAAACCCTTTTTCATAACTGGCAGCAACCAGCTTGATGAACTCGGGGTTGAAATCAATGTTTACCCAAGAGTTCGGCGGCTTGGGTACCTCAGCTGTGATATCAAGGGTACCCTTATCCGTGAGATATTCATCCTTATGTGGGCGGATAGTTGTATTGTAGATAGATTTCTTGTCTGGGTTACTAGCCAGAGCATCGGTGTCATCTGCGGCAGCCAGAAGAGGCACAACAATATCCGAAGTAGAGTCTTCAAAGTCAAGATACTGAATAGGGATCTCAGAAGTGCCAAAGGCGGTCTTGATCAAGACCGACTTGTTGTTGAAGTCGGGAATGGGTAGATGAATTGGAAATTCGCGGTCGAACTCTACCTCCTTCTCGTGGGGGAGCTTGGTCAAGCCACCACTGTAAGCTTTGACGGCAAACTTGAGTGCGCCTATCCAGAGCTCCTGTTCAAAGCAAGGGGTGAGGAAGAACCCGGGGATGGTGCCTTTAGCATGCAGCACGAGCTTGCCAGTCAGTCTGTAATACTTGGCAGTGATTACGCTGAACTTGATGGGGACAAGAGAGGCCATTTTAAGAGATGTAAGATTGGTTCTGGGCTGAGTAAAATGAAGCGTTTGATGGTTGATGGTTTATTCCAATGGTAATGGTATCTACAGGTATTTATAATAGCTTTGAGGGCACCAGAGGCCTGACATGTTTCTCGGTGGCTGATATTTTTCAGCTGAAAGCTTTCTTCAAAGGGTCATTTCGCTTGCTGTAATTACAATAATGTGATGCCATATCCAATATTGTTGGAGAAAGTTTGGATATCACATCCGCATATGGTCTCTTCCCCGGCCTGTATCCTCGAACTCAAGAGGCTCAAGTACGACAGACCTATGAGCACTCTCTCATTCGTCCTTGGCCTACGTTTGGAGTTGCGCACGCTTACCAGAAAGGAACTTGATTCACCGTATTAGGCTCATCCAGCTAGCCACGGGCAACGGACGGGCCCGAAGCCGACCGTCCAATGTCTCAGTGCCGTGCTCAAAAGCGGAAACGATCACCTCGTTCTCGTATCAAAGCACAGCGTTTGGGTAATATCACATATCAGCAAGGGATAGATTATGTGATAATGCAGCCTCATGCACTAGACCAGGCCATGCCGTCCTCAGCTCCGCCCATTGCAGACGTGGCGCATTCTTGAACTACCTGATTAGGTTAGTCGAGGGAACTCCTACGAACTCCATGTCTTTATGTGACAGCCATGGTTCGATGATGCGTAGGAATTCTATCATATTATGACCTGAGAGCGACGCTATTGATGTGATTCTGAAATTATTACATTTTGGCTGAGCTGAAAGCTTTCCTTTGAGGATGACAAGTGTTGATCGCGGACGTAGATGTCTCACTTCCCCGTGGAGCCTTCTATCACATCAGCGCTACGGTTCGTTAGTGGCTGTATTCTTTCTCGGCAAATTTCTAGCCGCCGTCTTCTATCCTCTTCTCTTCTCATCCTACGTCAGGGCTGCTGTTGCAATTCTGGGTTCTGTTCTGATACACGGTCACATGCACCGGGCAGCTGTTGCCAGCTGAGATCCAGAAAGTTGAAGAAGCCCAGGTATAACAGTGAACGGGATGAGAATTGTTGCAGGTTGGATATTTTATGTTATATTGCTGTGTCAGTGCCGAAGACCCAAGTATTCTTGATCTGATGGCCGCGTCACACTCCTCATTAAGCAGTATCCAAGTGACCAAATAGCAAGGCCGAGAAAACAAATTATCCAATCAGATTACCAATAAGTCCTAATGACAGCAATCTATCACTAAGATTACTACCGTCCCTACCACTTTGCTTGCAGCTCCCTATGTTCTCTATCCTCGTCTTTTTGAACAAAGAGTCTCAATATATATTTCAGCCATTTTCCAGGAACCATATCTATAGCAGTTCTAAGATCTTTGCCTTTCCTATACGAGCCCAGCGAAGCGATCAATGGCAGCCAGGAGGCGGGCGATAGAATTAGTGCCTATGGGTTTCTCCAGATGATAGCTAAGGTTACCGATGGCGTATTTCACAAGGATCTGGCTCATTATCATCTCAATGCGAGCTCTACACCGTCTGTCATTCTTTACAGGAACGAAATGCATATCTCAGATAGTAAGAGCCAGGTTCTTCACTCGCATCTGCACTGTTGTCAACGCCAATTCTGAAACGTGGACATGTAACAACATCTTCCAAGACAGGCGTACAACATGCCATAGGAGTTTGCACTATCCAGCGCTGGGTATCAGCGCCACGGCTGGCTTTGTATAAGAACTTAGTATGAGAATAATAGACTGAATTCGCAGATTAGGTAGTCCTCGAAGACCTAGGACAATCTTTCGCCGGCAGTTGGAGCGAGAGTCTTGCCCTACCAGAAATAAATCTTTGTGAATTGGAAGTAAAAAGGGTCTATCAGACGAATAGTATGTCAAAAATGTAGCCACATAGGTGAGCCTTGGTTGTTGTTCCATCGCTATGCTGGTGCTTATCCATTGTATTATTGAAAATTTCACATAGGGGTCTAGAGAGGTGGCTCGGACTAGGAAATGAACATTAATCTTTATCATAGGCTTTGCTACCAATTTTATCCTATAAATGCCGTTTCAAACAGCATCAGATGTAGGTGACAGGAATTACAACACAGCCCGAGGTAACTCACTGCAAAATTTCAAAACCTCATGCCTAAGCAATGCCGCAAAGGAGTGGCTTGAGGCGGAGTTGCAACAGTGGTTAAACCTGGGCATAATCGCGTTTAGTGCACTGCAGTTTTGACCTATCGATTTGCTGGAAATCTGTTTTCGTAATCCTGAATAATGCCCCGTGGTGGCTCAGACACGTAGTAGAATATCATTGGCAGCCTCGTTCTGTACTTTGTACTTAGTAAACCGCTTCAAAACGCTCTTGTGAATTTTATTTTCCTCCTCTCATCATGCTGCAGTCTAGCAACTATGGCAGAGCTGGCGCTGGCGATTATTCCTCTGGGAATAACAGTTACATCTGGTCTCACCAAGTATCTCAAAGCCTTCAACGATCACGATGACGACCGCGCTCGGCTTGTGCGTCAGGCCGAACGCTTTGAGAGCACGTTTCAATCACTTGACGCCGCCCTCAAACGTTCCGAGCTTGACCCAGGGCTCTCTTCGTCAGCATCAGAGGCTCATGCTAGTCTCAAAGAATGTCACAAAGCACTGAAAGAACTGGAAGCCCTTCAACAAAAAGTCTTTGCCACCACTACCAGTGTTGCATCAACGGCTCCTCACGCGCGTAAAAAAGACAAGATCAAGGGTGGATGTAAGAAGCTTATGTATCCGCTACAAAAGCCCGATATCGAAGTTCTAGAAGGAGCTTTAAATAGGCTTTCAACGACCCTCAATCTAGCTCTAGGAATACTGCATCTGTTGCGTGACCCAACCATTTTCGATTACTCTCACTGACGAATCTTAGAGATGGAGAATCCTTAACCAGAAAGACTTTAAACGAGCAAATGGTCGAGATACAGAAAAACACAGTCATTACTTCTGTTACCTCGACGGCTATCAACGAACTGCGCCAGCCTATCTCGAAAATCGATTTGGCCCTCCCCGTTCTCCAAACTTCCGTTGATTCTGTTATTCCCCATTTTGACCATAGGTTCGACCAGATCTCTTACCAGATCGCGTACCAGCATTCCCAAATGCAGGCTCAAATCAAGTCTCTTCTCGATACGGCCGAACTTACAGGATATCTGGATCGCCCAGGAACAAGCCAACAGCGTTTACAAGATCGCTTTGAAGGACAAGGCAACTGTCTTTCGACCAATGAGACTGACTGGGAATTTACAGCGCTTGCCAACAGAGATCATCTCGTATCGATGTGTTCTTGCCCGTCACGACGCATGCGTCATGACACATGGTTTGGTCAGGGCTCAATTCATTTCGCCGAAGAGATGCTATCCGATCACTGTCACGAAAAAGACTGTGTTTTCTTTTTCATGCCGTCAGGCTACGAAAAGACGCGAACCATCCGTTTTACAGGCTTTGCTTCTTTCTTTAAAAGGGGGCTTGAAGTGTCTTTCACTACTCGTGCTCGTGCAGGAAAATTCAGTATCAGTCCCTCTTTTACTTACTTTCCAGTGGTTGATGAGAAAGTCGCTCCAGGATTTTTAGTCATATCCCTTCTAAGTCGCGCAAGCAGACTCGAGAACATGAATGAGACAAAATCCAGAATAATACTGAGCGCGGTTCAGCGAAAACTTCAAGAATTGTTTTGCTCGGGGAGAGCAAGTCCTAATGATGTAACTCAAGAAAATTATACCCTACTTCATCTCCTAATCGACTCAGTAAGACCAGCTGATCTCAAAGCATAACGGATTGTTCCATTAACGTCTCTAGCTAGGTTTTTGGTTAAAAACTTTACAAGGAGCAAATTCCCCATTCGTCCGCTTAACGTTTGAAGGGTTGCTCAATTTTCTTATTGCCGCCGGTACATCTGTCACAGTTCGCAGCCGTTTTGGAGAGTACGCGCCCCAAAACATACTCGCTCGCTTAAGTTAATAGTTTTCAGGAAGGCAACACATAAATTCATCCTAGGGAGCTTTGTTCCTGCCTCTCTATATCGCCATCTGAATGCTGAGAATGAAGCAGAAGCGTCCACATATTCATATTATCCATTTTTGCATGATAGGCGTGGACTCCTTGAGTATCACGATCTTAACCAAAGCGTTGCAAGAAGTAAGTTCCATCATCTATCCAATAATCTGCTACTCCCTTCCTACACTCTTGAATGGCTTACTGGATAGAGTAGTTCACTATGGTCCTTTAGGCTTAGCAATCATCCAAAACAATTTACGAGAAGTGGAGCGGATCATCTCCTTATATCCGAACATGCTTGGAGAGCTAAGTTATTATAAGGAGACGCCGTTACACATAGCCATTGATAGGCCAGATATCTTGAGAGTGCTTGCCAAGAAAGCAAAGCCCGAAGACTGGATTCGACGCAGCCTCGATGACGCGACTTCTCTTAACCTTGCAATTCAAGCCAGTCGTGAGATTTGTCACTCAGGGGATGTTTTGGATGAATCATGTTGTCCATGCACATTACCGCTTCGGATCATTTTATCTGCTGGCTGCCCCATCATACCTTACCGAGATTTTCGTTGCTCCATGTTCTCACCTTCACCAAAAGAATCCTTCTTTGAATCTTCTACTCATTGTAAAATACTTCTGACGAAGGAGCTGCGAAACCGCCGTCGGCAACTGCGAGACTTGGCCAAAAGCAAGCTCTCAATTACCGAGTTCAGCAGATTTGCAACTCTGGAGGAAGTACCCGATGTTGAAGCCATCGGCATGGATAGTTTACTCCGCCAAAAGGACATTCTGGGTCAGGGACCCCTCTCAAGTTTTGTGGATGGGGACCTGCCTCCACATCCTCAGCAGGATGTCAGATACTGTTCCAGGTCAATATTCTTTGACCTGAAGAGCCCTGAAGATGCAGATTTGTTCGTTGACTCTGGCTTCAACATGTTATGCGCTAATCGAGATCATGATTCTTCATTGGATAGAATGCTTTTTGCCAAAATCAGCCCAGATAGGCGATTCATTTCACTAGACTACGCAATATGGCTCTTTGAACATCAAGCTCCGTTATGGAAATGGAGCTACAGGTTCACTAACCCGATGCCTTCGGCTTTCGTTCTTGCCGACATTCTCGGCATACAGGACTATAAATGTTCTGGTCAAGAAAATTCAGGTGACAAGGCAGAACATTATCTGGGCGAATCGATTTTAGTCGATGACTGCACTTGTTTATGTTCACCTCGCGGCTGTACCCCTTTCGCCTCGAGGATGAAGTGGCTCGCACATTCCCATGATGAGCCACAAGACCATACACCTCAGGATATTGCAACGAAGTTCGGTTGTTACGTGGAAACATATGGCGACCGTCTGGATTTAAAGCATCACCTCATCATGGTGCGACAAGCAACATTTGCTGCGCTAGAACTAAAGCATACGTGCTTGGATAGGCCTGCATATAGTAATTGTCCGGGTTATCACCGTTGGATATACTTGCTCGACCCAGTGACAGAATTGGAGCCAGATGAGATGGAGTTCGAGACTTTGAATGTGCATGTGGAGGCAAAAAATCAGTTGGAGAGCGTGGTCACCATGTTTCAGGATTTTTTGTTAAGCGGAGACCAAATGACCGTTTCAAGCAAGGAAAAGAGTTTTGATATTGATCATTCAGTATCTAATAATCAGAGCGTCGTTGGCGTAGCCGACCTCTACTGCCAGAGGGCTTTGGAATTCTGGAAGCACATTTGGGAAAACAGGATTCAGGATGCTTTGGAGGCTGTAGCCAAAGGATGGGACAACAGGCTCAATGGGGAGAATGATCTCGTGCAAATTTCGACTTGCGAGGAGGCAATGCAAGAGGCAGAGAATAGCTCTGGGGAGGAGAATGATGAGGTAATCTTTAACGGAATTATACAACAGATTCAGGATATCTAAAGATTTTCTAGCTAGCAATAATACTATTTACTTGGGGTCATGATTATCCTTAAACAGGCAAGGCAGTTCTCCATGAACATCTTGACAGACTGGTTAAATTTATTCAAGTTGGCACTTATCTGTGAGGTTTTCAAGTTCTAATAGCGCTGGTCGCTTGTCAAGAGGTCGGGTTCGCTGATGTCATCAGAGCTAGAAACATGCAGTAAATCTAGGACTTTGTCTGGCACATGGTTCCGCCCTACTAATGCGGTGTCGTTCCGCATAGCCGCTACCAGATTGCCCAGTTTCTGGGCTATAATTACAGGGCTACCCCCCAACCCAATGATACGCGCAAATTCGAACCTCAACATAATATTTTCTCAACACAGCACATAGCCCACTACCTCTATGTCACCCGAAAGCGCGGATCCTCTGGCCGGACTTGATTCCATCGACTGGCCTCAATTCAGCCATGCCTACGGACCAGCGGATGACGTACCACAGCTCCTGAAGGACCTCCAGTCGACAGATCCTGAAGTGTACAAGACAGCATTTACTAAATGTTGGTCCAACATCTATCACCAAGGTTCACGCTATAGTGCTTCAGTCGAAGCAATTCCATTTCTCTACGCTTTACTTGATAGCCCAGCCACCAAGGATCGCGAAAGCCTGCTGTATCTGATTACCAGTCTTGCAATCGGTCATCCAGATTGGTCGGTTCCTAACGGAATTGGTATCGACAACTGGGAAAAGAGCATCCCGGAAATAGAGAAGCCTGAGTACCGCGATCGTGCAATGCAAGGATTCAAAGCCTACGAGGCTGTCGAACGAGGACTATCTTCAATTCTGGGTTGCCTAAACGATAATTCAGCCAGTATACGAGCGAATGCGGCCCATGCTTTGGCATTCTTCCCACGTCAGTCAGCTATATCTAAAGAAGCTCTCCTCGACCGACTGAGCCGAGAGACGAACAACAATGTCAGGGCGACGATTGTACTAGCGCTCGCCGTCTTGTTTGCTCTGGCAGATGATGATTCAGAGAAGAGGGACCTCACCAGAAAGATCCAAGAGTATCATGCGGCTTCACCTATTCGAGAAGGATTCGAGGATATCGTCGGATGGTCTTGCGCTGTTGCACTCTTTATTCTTGGTTCAAAGGAAGATGCATTGGCGGAAACTGTGCAGCGTGTAAACGAGGACAAAGCGTACGTGGACAAGTTGGAATCAACCCTTGATCAGGATGTTTGGTTTCCCTTCGCTTCACTTAATCTACGCGATCTAGCCAAGTCCGTGCTGAAAAACTAAGGAACATAGTTCCTCTAGGCTCGATATACTACATATTACTGCTATGATTAACTTTGAGCGTTCTACCAGCCTCCGATCCCCTGGCATGCATCCGTGAAATAAGACCCTAGTGCTCTAATGTTCAAGATTGTTGTATAGAATTATCAACACACACACTGCCTGCTCTCGAATCCTGAGCCTGTTACTTGTACTTGTTGACCTGTTCCTCAGTCCACTCCCAGTACTTCTTGCCAAGGTCAGGATCAATAAGATCTTTGCGGCATGGCTCGACCTTTCCAAAAGGAGAAACTATTCAATGGATACAGTCAGCGATCCTGAATTCCGAATGGTTGTCTCTAACAGCTTATCAATGACAAAGACTTACCCCAGCAGCCATTTTCTTTCTCTGTGATTGTAGGCGAATGGCTTGCGAATAGTTGAGTATAGGCACCATTCTTGGGCGCGTGAGAGATGAGTTTCTACGCATCTAGCATTAATAATAAGTCTTAGCTTTTGTAATTCGTTGACTTACGAAGATAGCAAGCTGCATCCTGGGCATGTTCTGCTGTAGGTTGGTCACAAAGTTGCCAGGGTTTAGAGCCTGAAGACAAGAGTTAGTTCCAGACTTCTAGCAAAAAGGATTATCGGATAACGAACAACGCTGATAATGCCCTCACCGGCAGTCCTCCGAGCAAACTCAACGGCGTGCAAGACGTTTCCAGCCTTACTTCTTGAGTACTTTGGCCAGATCCCTTCTTCATTGTGATAGTCCATGTTCGAGAAATCGATGGCCGGGGTTGGAGCACCATCAGCAGCGCTAGAAGACACCCAAATGACGCGAACAGAGTTCTTGGGAGCACTCTGGGCCGTAGCAGCAAGAAGAGGATGAAGAAAGTGCGTGAACAAGAACGGGGCGAGGTTATTCACGCCAATCTGTAATTCATAGCCTTGTACGGTCTTTGACCCCTGCGGGGGTACCATTACACCAGCATTGTTGTAGAGAACGTCGAGACGGCTTTCCTGTGCGAGGAACTCTTGAGCCGAAGCCTTGATGGTAGTGAGATCATCGAGGACTAGTGGCAGGAATATCATCCTGCCGGTCGAATTTGGGTGAGCTGCCTTGATATCCCTCATAACTTCGTCGGTCTTGGTTCGAGAGCGAGCGGCCATGTAGATCTTTCCATTTTTCTGGTATAGAATTGAAGCAATCTCCTTACCCAATCCGCCAGAAGCTCCAGTGATGAGAAATACCTAGTGAGTGTCGGTGTTAGACAAGCTACAGTTGTAAGTGGAGTATGGCTTACCTTGCCTGCTTGGTCAGGAAGGTTCTTCTCTGTCAGGGTCGGCTTGTTGGGAATGATGGTGCTTCGTCGAACACTCATAATGGATAGTCTGGGGAATAGATATTACTGGCGATCTAATAAATTCTAGGTAGGTAAGGAGGATATTGATGGTGGCGATGATACAGTTGTTGATTAGATATGTGAAAGCGTTAGTGGTGGTGTTCTGGGACCATTGGAGCTGCCGTCAGCTAGGTATATATAGCCTTCTCTTATCAATATGTGCAAGGCGCTTTGCAATCATAATTAAACTGATTCTATATGATGCGGCCGCACTGAGGGGAGTCCCGTCTGATGCGCGTCCGCCCAAGACGGCACTTAGGGTGCTGCGGATTCTGCGGCCGCACTCCGCACCCGCTCCGCTCCGATACCAAAACAACAGACATTACGCAAGACGGTGCATTGTAAAAAAACTATTTTCGGGTATAACATGTCTTTTTCAATTAGAACGCAATTAATTATAATGTGGTCCTAGCTTCTACCCTTGCTGTGACGTCGTGAACCGTCAACATCTCGCGGTACGTGCTTCCAAGCCGCCACCTCGAGCTTATAGTATCCAAAAACATGCCCAAATCAGCTGCAGCCGTGCGATAAACTTCATTTCCACCCTCGCCAAGAAGCCAGTGAAATGTCGCTGCACTTGCGTAGATAGAATCCAGCATGAAAGGGCTTACTTTGGACAGCGAAGATATTCCGTCCGTTCCGAAAGCGGGTAGCAGGTCCATACCCAGAGTGTGTAGCTGTTCGCTGATCTGCTCTATGATATGCATAGACTGTCTTTGCAGCTCAATCTCATCCTGTGTCTTGTCCCCTGGACTATCTACATACCCGGGCTCTGCACTGATCTTCTCGGGGCAAGTGAAACGGTCCAGGGCGACAAAGAGCGCTGAGCAGGCAATGGATCGAGGTGCGAGCAGTACGATTCTTTTCTCGGGGCCAAGGGTTGTGGTCTCATTGTCCACTGTTGCCCCATAGTCTGACAGCTCGTTTGCCAGAGACATGATTTCTTCGGTACGAGACGTTGTCATCGCGGAATTATCCCGGGCATAGTTTATGGCGCGACCGAGATACATCGAGGCTTGGCATAGCCTTGCGAATGGAGATTGCTGTAGCTGATGTGATATTGAGGTTGAGTGACTGACGGCCATGTTTACCTCGCCCCGGTCCTAGTTTCATGTTTATTAGTTACTATAGTGTAACGGTGTTGAGTTTCTATCGACTTACCCATACGTCATCATCAACAGGCAGTTTACACTCGGGGTAGATATCGGGAAGTAAGCAACGCTTTCTGCTTCCCAGTGACACGAGTTTTTCGAGGATGTAGATAGCCCACCACACTCTTCTTCTCTCTTCGGCTTCTGTCCAGGTTGTCTACGGGCATGTCAGTTTGTTTCATCACTCATCTTCGCAAATATGGTCAAATGATTCCAATCTGACTATTTCAGCCGCAGTAATCAAACGCACGTACCACTTGACCCAATGGAGAATAATCACCAGGCGTGATGCCCAAGATATCAGCGTAGCGAGCGCATGACCCGATAGTCATCCAAGCTGCCGGATAGATCGCATGAGAATACTCATACAAGGCTACGAGTATCATAGCCTGAAGGCAGAGTAGCGATACGACACCGTTACTCTCCAGACTAGAAAGGAAGCTTTTGGCTGTATCGTACAAGGTTGAGTCGGTGATGTCGATAGCCGGAGTCGTAATGAGCTTCATTCCGAGAAACAGCATGGCAAGATCGGGGCCTGCATTCTGCACCGGGAGGCCCATATCCATCCTCTTTTTAGATATCATGGGAAACCAAGTGTGAATCGTCGCAAAATAGTTTTGCGATACGTCCAGAACGACGTTACCTTGGCTGAGAAGCGCGAGGACGGGCTACAGAGGATTAGAGTACTAAGCAACAGATTTACGACAGCAAAGCAGTGAATTGAAGCCAGGAATAAAGTGAGCATGCTGATAACTAGAGGCAACTTACCGCGGGGATGGCGCCGGAAGGGACAGGCAGCTTTGCTTGAGACCATACATAGCAGTCAATATCGAGAAACATAGATGCGGGAAAACGCGACACCGATGTTGAGTCTAAACATTCAGCAGTGGAGTAGGCAGGCGTGAAACGGGTAGGTTGAGACCATGAGTTGACACTATTCGACCCGATGCTATGCGTGTCGATGTCGCAGAAGATCGCGCCTGGCGTTGATTCCTGTTCCAACAATGACCCTGAAGCCGGGCCTGAGATTGGGCTCAATATGTGCTGCTCTGTAGCCCTCGGAGAATTAGCCAGTCGATTCTCCAGCTCACTGAGACGCGCCTGCATCATGTTCCAGTCGCTAGCACTGGGCTGGAAATCAGTCGCGATGCCATACTCGCACGGGCGTTGAGTGCGCTTGCATAAGCTACACTCGGGGATAGCCTTATCGCAACGGCGCTTCTGCTTTTTACAGGCTTTACAGGCTTGGTCGCTTCGGGTTGTCATGTTTGGTGTATGCCAGTCTGGTTTTTGCAATGTATTACTCATTCAATTAATTGATGGCACGCCAAAGCAGTCGCGCGTTGATTCTAAACTACGTAACTCCGTGCTTTTACCGCTGTCGGACTTGAGAAGAGCGGGGATGAGTGCGGAAAATGCGGCCGCATCAGTGGGGCTCACTCATCCCGTGAGTCCGGAGACATCCGTCCGTACCAGCGTAAGGAGTAAAGCTCTATCAATATGCAAATTCCTTGTTTAAAAAAA